TTACATTATTGAATGATGCGTACCTCAAAGTGCTCCTCTGGAAAATCATGACGAATACAAATAACTACCAGTCAGCAAAATAAAGAACTAACCGTTTCTATTACAATACATTAAATTTCCTCCTTTTTCTACACAACACCCACAATATCAGTACAAAAGTGAAATAACATTAAAATTTGCAATTTTTAAAGATAGTTCAGTATCTGCATATAAGGGACTTTTCAATTTTAAAGTTTCAGTACTTGAAATAGTTAATATTTTCAGAGTCTGTTTTTATGAATTCTTTCTAGTAGAAACATTTCAAGGTGCTTTATAAACATAAACTTAGCAGGTTTATCAGATTAGAAAAAAATATTTAAAGATGAGATTAATTTGGTCATATTTATTGAGAAATTAGGATTGCTAATTGTCAATACAAATTTAATGAGAAAACTGGCCAACACCCCTATTTAGGGGGAAATAAACTATGCACCCTAGAGACAGAATCTGAACTATGAAAATAAAATTACACATTTCCGAATCTATGTCAGTTCTATAAAACTCGCTCAAGAAATGGCCTGAAACTGATTAGTCTTCTCTATTATTTCAGAAAGGCAACCTTCATTGGGAAAAAAAATAGTAATTAAATAAGTATTTCAAAACACCACTTAGGCTGTCTTTACTCATGAGCATTTTGGACACCATTTTTAAAAAAGCTAGATTAAGTAACAGTTCAAAGCTTTAGTTAATGATAGTTGAAATGCAGCTTTTATGTAGGTAAACAAGTTACGATTATATGATTTTTTTTCCCCAGTCGTAACATGAGAAAACTCACAGTTCACACACAAAGAAAACAGAAATGAAGCCACACATTCATACAGCTGTAATTATAACTTTGTGAGAATTTAGACCCAGTTTAATAGAACAGAGGGGGAAAATCTCTAATCTATTGGTATCAGGATAGATAATTTTAGCCTCCTTAGGGTCTGTTCATTTCCATCTCTCCAGGACACCCTGAGTAATTCAAGGCTCTTAAGGTAGACCAACTACTCCAAGTGTCTCTCCCCTTATCTTCTATGAGGTTGATTTGTTGGCTCTGAGCTACCTGAAGGAAAGGAAAGCAGCAGTTACTGAGCGCCTGTGGTGCAATAAACACCGTCCTTGCTTGTGAACTGAATCTGTGTGAAATACATGTCATTTCCATTTTACAGATAAAAAAATGTAGGCTCTCAGAATTGAAGTACTTTGCCCAAGAGTCCACAGATTTGTGTTTGGACTCTTCCAAATCCCACACAATTTCTGCTCCTGAATGATAGTACAGTCATTACATTTCAACTTTAAGAAAAGAATGGTCTTATCAGTCCTGGGTCACTTTTGATGTTAATCCTAGCACAGGGATTCTTGGGAGATGTGTCACCTCCCCTCCCCCTGCCGGGGTGTCTGTGATTGGCATGTCTCAGGAGAAACCTCAGGGTACTGATTCTCAGGGCTGGGGACAAGTAAAATGGGGTTTTACACAAAGTTCAACCAATCTTTCATCCAAATTATTTTATAGCTGACTGCTATTTCTGTCGCATTTTGTAAAAGACTGTATTGGCTTGCTAAATACTAAACTAATATTAGAATCCAGAAGTAGTTAGAGATTATTTTTCTGCTATGCACACTGGTACTAAAACCCCCAAATGCACAGGGCTATCACAAATACAAAGAACATAATGACTACAGTATTTTCAACCCTATTGTGACAGAAGGACGCATGTTTTTACGTTTAGTAGCAGCATTATTCTTCAAAGAAAAAAGCAAAATAATTGCTTTGTGCCAATGGAATAAGTGGTCATTTAATATATATTTTTACAGAGCTGTCTATGTTCCTTTTCCCCTTGAACACCAATAAGAAAACATTTGCTAGTTTTTTTTTCTCTAGCTCAAGAAAAATTTAAATTACTTGATAAGTCCTTCCATCTCTCTTTTACTTGACTGCTTATTATAGTTGACTAAGGAATTAATTTTATGCACCTATACAAGCATCTCTGAAGATACATACATTTACAGACCTGTACACATGCAAACATATGTACATTCATGGTAGTATGCACACACATACATCATAGAATTCAAACTAGAGATAGTAAAATATAAATTATGGTAATAATAAAGAATTTATGGAATGTAACCCAGTAAGGTCTAAAATGTACAATTTAAAAATTACTGCACTGAAATGTCTCCTTCTATGAAGTATGGACTGAGCAGCTCATGGCCCTTGGGGACCCATAGAAAATCTAGATGAAATGTAAAATAAACAGGTGAAAAGGGTCAGAGAATAGCTGAGACAACAGGTTTAGACTGTTTAAGATTCTGAAGAGGAGAGAACCCTGAGGAGGTGAGGGAAGAATGTACAGCTGATTCTGTTGTTTCTGGGCTGTGGGAAGAACCCAGACTTGGCCTGAACAGAAGGCCACTGCTGGAGGTTAGAGAAACCAGCAGAGCTGAGGAGACTTGAGGGACTGGAATGACAAAATACAGACTTGAGAGATCTCCAACACCTGGCCAATTATCCCGTGATGACAAATTCTGAAGCTACGAAGTCTAGAGACAAAAGGCTAAACTAAAAGTCTTGAAAAGCACCACAAACTTTTGGCAGTCTTGAAATGCTAAGAAGAATATTTTAAAAATATAGCCACTCAAGCCAAGCCAAGGGGAAGGCCCCACATGAACTCATGAGGCCTGGGTTGGTTCTGTGGACCAAATCCAGTCCGCCTCTATTTTTGGTACAGTCCATGAGCTAAGAACTTTTAAATGGCTTAGAAAAAAATTCAAAGAAGAACAATATTTTATTATGTGAAAATATATGAAACTCAACTAAGAACAGGAACAAACTAGAGATAAGATTGGGTCTTAACCAAAACTCATGTTGACTTAACTCCAAACTGGATTAAGGTAATTAGCTTCAACTCTATTTTCCTGATGGAAGAAGGATAAAGATTTTCTGGAGAAAGATATTATCTTCAGCCTCTACAATTTTTTATGCACATTTTACACACATCCCAGCATTCAGAAAATTACTGACCTCGTTTGATCTGAGCTGAACTGTGATACATGTGATGAAGCCTGACTTAACTAGCAAGGTCAACAGAAATATGTTAACATCCAACATTTCAAACAAGCAATTTAAAAACCTATGTTATTTAAAGAGAAATAAAACAAAAATAACAGAAAATAAATTTAAAAAGTAAAGCAGAAGTAACCTAAAAAGTGCTTTGCTTGGCAAGAAAACTTAATGTATGTGTCCGAAATAATAGTACTGTAACCAGATATTAGTTAGTTTCCAATGTAAAACATTCCAATAATACATGGAATAAAAAAATCTATGCATTTTTTTTGTAGAAAATGGAAACAAATAGTAATGGATCAGTTATAAGTCACTCTGTGCTCTAAGACTATGTTCCAGGACTCATTTTTCAATGACATGTGCTTTATAGATATTGGCGTCTTATTTTACGTATCAACCATCCTGAGAAGACAAAGTACAGATGTGATAAAAACTGATAACACTGAAATATTATAACTATGCAATATGATAATGTCTACTTCTCTCCCAGGATTTTGAATTTTTTACTGTAATAGCTTTTCATAATGAAAAGAGCAACTCAAAGGAACAAGACAGCTGATAAGTTCAATACGTCATAGAACTACAGAATCATTAAATTCATTTTAATTAGGATATACTAAGATTTTTACATCTATGGCAAAAGTAAATTATAACTCCCATATATAATAGATCAGGTCATTTTCATTTATAAACCTATCACAATTTGCAACACATGTCTCACTGGTATCAGTGAAATATAACCTAAATGCGCTCAAAAGATCAGGTCACATAGTATTTTTATGGGATTCAACCACATGCAGTTTTATTATTATACAGAAGGCATATAGATAGAGTTATGAATATAAAATTCCATATAGATAGTGATTTGAAAACGGATACTTGTGCATTCAACTATATCCATATATACTATATACTCCAACTTTTAATTTATCTCACTAGCTTGTGAACAGTTTGTAGTATAGGAATCAACAATATTACCTAGGTATGAGCTGAGAAATCCAGAATTATTGTTAAAATGAAAGGACTTTCAGAATTAGAGACTTTAAAACAACTTTTTAAAAAGTTTAAATACTCTTTCTCACTTCCTTTAACTTTAAGAGCTCCTCAAGGATAGATGCCTCTGAATAGGTGCTAATAATTTGTTCAGATAAAGGCTTGATTGTGGTCAAATAAGAAATCACCAGGAGAGTATGCTATTTATCATTTTAGTTAAATTATAAGTGCTCTTTTAACATTAAATTCAGTATCATAAAAAATTATAAGTATCATCCACAACAGATGTCATCTATATCTTTTGCTAATTTAAAAACAAGTTTTCATTCATCTAATTCTCAAAGTTGTTTTAAAAAAATTCTTCATATCCCTGAAAACAGTCAATTTCTAAGCAATTTTATTATTATTACATTGGAAAGAGGCAAATACTAAAGAGAACCCTGGATATTCATGCAATTAAATAAAATTAAAGAAATTTTTTTTAAATGTACAGATATTTATGTCACTGTTTCTTCCTTAATAACGAGCAAAATGCTATGCCTCTAAACACAAAATTCAAACACTATTTACAGTTTCACAATACTGCTTCCCTATACATCATGTGTGATGCCAGTGAAAAAGAGCAGAGTCCACAGAGGGACATATCGCAAACAAAAATTCACAGTGGGTGGTGGAAAGTGAGGCCAGGAGTCAGACAGACCTAACAGAGATGACACAGACATGGCACCGGGCACAGTCTCCTCAGAGAGGAAAAGGAAACCCACATGCCCCTCTGAAACGCCGAGTTCATTCTCTCTCATCTCTGAGCACTAAATATCACATCTTTAAAACGGTTTCAATTAGATTATTCCCCTCCTTTAAGTAACACAACCATTCTCAAAGTGCAACGCTGAAACCCCATAAAAACTTAATCACCTACCATTTTCTTTGCACTCTTCTGGAGGTTTAGCCTTTTTCGCAAGTCGTGGATCCAGCCATGATGTTGTCTTTGTGTTATGGCTGAAAAGAAAAGAGATCACTCTGAACAGACACATACTGAAAGGAATCAAGTTTATTCCTTAAAAAAAAAAAAAAAAGGGAGGGGGTTAGTCCAACAAAATTGCAATCGATACACTTAATTTGCTTACTGGTTCTAAGTAGCCCTGAAGGAGGTGTAAGAGTAATTGTGCAAGGCAGCTGTAAATTTGGCAACCTCAGCTCCCTGTCCTCAAAGCAGCTATTTTTATTAAAATCAACTAGAATGTTGCCAAGTTAACCTCATTGAAAATGCAGAACTCATCCAGAGCAAAAGGAATTTATTACAAATACAGGATTCTCCAGTTGGAAGAGCACAGTTCACAGGCGCTGATGCTGTTTCCTCAATTTTGCAAACGAATTATTTTCATCTTAAACCTGCCCTTTTCATAAATAGTTGTTTTGTTACTCTTTAAACATAGAGCTGGCAGAGGCAGTCCAAAAGTGATGAAAATTACAGCATGTTCTTGGGATTCCTACATTTTCTCAAAAAGTGATTAAAGCAATTTCACTAAGTCACGTCTTCCATCTTTCACTGTCCCAATACTTTCAATCCAGTTAGACAGGGAGAGGATAAAACTGTCTGTATTCCCATGTTTCTAGACTGGAATTTCTGGGAATAAATGATAACTCTACTGGCATATTTTTTTGAAAGTTGTGTTCTGGGAAGTCTTTTATTGGAAATTTAAAAAGGAGAGATGCTCTTAGAGCCAGTGTTTCTTAGAGAAGTTCTGGTGTCACCTGCACTACAATCACCTATGCACCTTTATTCACAGTGCATCCTCGGGTTCTTTGTAGAACTTCCAAGTCACAGTCTTTGAGGTGGAGCCACACAATCTCCATCATTGGCAAGCACTCCAGGTAATCCTTATGTACATTATAATTCAAGAACCACTCAGAGTCTCAAAACTGCTCATTGGTGCTAAACTCTTTACTGTTGCATAGCTGTCTCAAGTGATTTCATTTACCAATGGACATTTTATCAAAGATGTGACATTTGCAAGGGCTTTAGAAAAACAATGAGCAAAATGTGTGAATAAGTGGGAGGTTTGTACAGGGGAGAGACAAAAGGCCAATGAATGGACCATGGAAGGAAAGAGTGGAAAATAAGTTAGAAATATAAATTAAAGCCAGATAATAGGGTTACGTGAAAACAGTCATAGGAAAGTCAAAATGACAATGATATCAATGCCACATAGATTTTCTTTTTCTTAAGTGAAATTTAACTATGTTTTATTTTATCAGAGTCACAAGTGTTAGACAATCTGATGAACTCATCTGCACTTAAAGCAAAGGTCAGAAAATTCACTGAGGCAGCATATTTAATAGCAAACTTCTCAAGGCTGCCTACCTAATGCGGGAATTTCAAGGCATGACAGAAGAAAGATGAAGACAAGATGGGCAGCAGGAAAGCGGTTCCAAGTTGTTAAAGTACTCTTCAAACAGTGCCTTCTGGATGACCATCCTGTCTGCCTATTTGTAGAGCCATTTCTGATTTTAGAACAGAGACATTAAGACCCTTGGGTCATGACATCTCAGCTCCTGAAGAAGATTCTCTTTTATTTCTTACTTGCATGTGGGGTAAAGAAAAAATACTCTCCATCACTTTCCCCACATTTAGGAGCCCCTTAGTGATGTTTCTGAGCAGCACTCTAATACTTTGACCAGATACAGGCTGTGAATTTGATCAAATGATAAATCAAGAGTATGCTAGCTTCTGTTTTCTCCCACTTTGACCTTTGTAAGGTCCAATGGTGCTTCATTATCAAGTTCCAGGAGGAGGCCAAGTATGCAGACACTGTCATCTCGTTTTGTCCTCATCTGTAGTCATGCCAATATCATCTAGTGTTTTCCTCTGAACTGAAGACTTGATGCTCATGGATGGAGGTCATGACTGTCCCACATATGAGGACAGTGGCTGGCACTGGGTTCAGTGTTTGCTGTCTCTTTTTTGGAAAAATGCCACTTTAAAATGCTTTTTATAGACATGCCTCAGTTTAAAGTGTGTGTGTGTGTGTGTGTGTGTGGTGTCTATGTTTTTATGTACTACAGAGAAATGTTGGGAGGAGGGCAACGAAAATAAATTTCCCTTCTTTTTAAGCACATCTGCTTCTTCAAAAGTCTTCCTCCATTTTGGATAAAAGTCATTTCTAGGTCTCTAAGACATATTCATAAATGCAAACACATATATGGGTAAGTATTAAGGGGCCATTACCAAGCCAGTACAGGCAAATTATCATTTCTATATCACACCACCCTGCGTCTCAAATACTAGCTAGTTTTGCAGAAAACTGCATTTCCTAGCTTTCCTGAATTTATATAAAGCATTTTTATTTCAGGATGATTTTATTTTTTTTTAGATTGAGCTAGCATTAGTGGTGTATCACTTTAATACATTTTGACAGATTGAGTCTCTTATAGTTAACAGCATTTTTAGCTGATCCCCTGAAATGATTCTGAAAGAAATGTGAGTAGTAGTCACCTCCAGTAATTGTCTTAAACATCACATGAAGATATAGCACAGTATTTTTCAATAGTACCTCTTACCAGCCTTGTAATTTGCATGCTTCTTCAAGATGCCCTACAAAGGAGGTATTTTCAATGCATTTGGGAGACAACAGACCAAGTGACTTTTCCACTTTCCTTAAATTGTATATTTTTAACTTCAATAATAACATTTGAAAATAGGATTAAACATATGGCAGGAAAACTGTGTTCAAAATGGGACTACTGAGGGATATTTTGCAATCCAAATACTACCTTTCCTCACATTTGAGAAAAGTGATTTCCCTTCACTTTCATTGCTAAAGTAGATTTGGATCAGGACATCAGTTGTCCGTATCTAACCCAGTTGTATGGTGCACAAATAGCAGGAAGGTAAGATCTAATGCTACATAATCTTGTATTTCAATACTAGTTTCTATAATAGACACACATACAAGCGTATATGCTACATTTGCAGGGAAACATTTTTTCCTACCTGGAGAATGAAGTGAATATACTTTTAGGAATCTTGAATTATAATCATGTACTATATGTATTTCTCTGGGTAAAGTTAATGTGATGATCATAAAAAGTGAGCAATTAATCGGAGTAGCGTCACTAGCTATTCAAGTTTCAATGTCATATGAAAAAACCCAGATGAACACCTTATCCTAATGACTTATCCAAAACTCTTCTCTGATGTTAAATATATACTTAGTCTATATGGAGGATTGGAAAAAACCAGAAGTGAAATTTCATTCAACTCTAATTCTATTTTAAATTCTCATCAGAATGACCTTGAAGATCTGTGATGGGCTGATTTATAATGAATCCGAAATTCTTGGGTATTTGGTTAGGTGTAATCTTTGCCAAACCTGACAAAACCGTAGGTTAAATAATAACATCTTATCTTTAGAGGAAACACTCTTCTCAGAAAGAAAATGCTTCACTTTAATAAGAAAAGCTGATGACACCACGGCCCATCACTGTAAAGTCATTCTCACTGTCCTGTAACATTTCCTGGTTGCCTGCATCCCTGGACGGCACTGCGACCTTCACACCATCGCCACGTTGGATGACAGCGACTCACTGCATCTCCACATTTTTAACTTCATTTTATGGATAGAGAAGGTTGAGAGAAGCTGGGTAACCTGCCCAAGGTTACACAGCCAGTGTGTGAAAGGGAAAGAACCAGCATTAAACCCAGATCTATCTGATCCTGAGCCCAAGGGATTTTCACGACCCCAAACCAGAGGCAAATGAAACCTAACACTGTGCTTCTGATACTGAGGTGCTTTATTTCCCTCCCTTGGAGGGTAACCAAAGGTCTTTTTCCCAGCTCCTTTGCCAATGGTTTAGAAACTAAGGCCTTTATCTCCTGCTTAAGGACAGTAGTCACTCACTTAAATGCCTTTGTGCTGAAAGCCTTGTACTTCATAGGTACTATTTTCAAATGCACGTGCATAGAGATGCATGACAGAACACTGTGATCGACGACGTGCACGGAAGGTCATGTGAGGTATTTTCTCCTTACAAACTTGAACTCTGTTCAGATACTTTCAAATCAAATTTTCTTCATTCAAATCTGAATGTTTTTCCAGAATAATGTCTTAAACTTCCTGATGTATATAGTCTACATATGAATACTAGGTCTCAGAAGCTATACTAAAGAATTAGGTTAATAAAAATGCTAACAAATGGACAGAGTATTTATTAGGAGATAAAGTTTCACATAGATCGTGCTACATTCTATGTTTTATTCAATATTTTTCATTTACTTCACATTTTTCCAGTCAAGGTGCAAGCCCCTTATTTGTTTCCTAGGTGTATATAAGTGGATGCTCAAGGGTGACCCAATTCAAACCTAATTTTAAGTTGTGTCCTCCTTTCTTTCCTCTTTTCTGTTTTCCTTTCTCTCTCTTCTTTCTTAGCTTTATGTTGCCACCCAGGCCAAAATAATATTTTCCCTACTGCACACATATTGGATGATATATCAACTGAAATTTTATTAGTGGAATAAGAAATTTTTATTATCAAACACATTCCTTTCCTTTGCTCCATTTCCTCTAGAACAGTAACAGTCTTCAACGATAAAGAAATTGAATTTTAAAAGTTGCCCTAAAAAGCCAATTCAGAATCTCAATCTTTAACTGATAGTTAAACTATAGTTTCATCTGGGAAATACTAAGAAGAATACTGAGAGATTGATATCAGTGATATTTGACTGCACGAAGCATAATCTTTTGAACATATAAACAAGGTCTGGCTAAATATTTTAGAATCTATTGAGCAATTCAAGATGTGTGTGGATGTCAAAGTTCCAATAGCAGTAGTCAGTTTAAGGGACAATGGTAAGAGTTTACTGACTGTATTTTATGTACTTTAAAAAATAAACATTAGTTTTTAAATGTTATATACATTGATTACATTTTACTTTAGAGTAAAAAAAATCCTTAGAATAGTTTTATCATTCTTCAGAAGACTATTCCCTCTATATCATC